TAGAGCCAGAGGCAGGCTCTAATTTATTAAGCAGTAAACTTAATCTAAGTATCCAATGCACATACTTTTGATTTTATTCTTAATCCTCTTTTTGGATATCTCTACTGTATAAAAGTTATGTTTGATAACAATTACAGTCTTACAGATACAATGCTAAACCGATCAGACTAATATCCGATTGAACTAAAGCCAGCTGTTCAAAACATAGATAAAGATAGATTGCGCAGAAGACGACATTTTTCATCTTGAAAGATATAAATGTACAGAGATGTTTTAAAGATATTACTATTGTATAGATTAACTAGTTCGGTTGTGAACATTAGCTGTTCTTATGTCATTGAGTACTTGTGGTGTACATGAGTTCTTTAGAGAGAAATTTAAGTTAGTTTAGTCCTTCTCATGTCCTTTTTCAGTTCTCGTCAATATGATATATTGCTCAGTGAAATATTGTTGTTCAAATAGTTCCATCCCCGGAATTATTTTACACTCAATTATGAAATCCAAACATCAAAAAAACCACTCCGCTTATCATTGAAGTACACTTTGACCCCTAGAAGTATGAGTTCGTGGACTGTACAATTCTTGGTGATTTTGCGTACGTAAGCTATCTATGTTTATTTATTTATCTATGGTTCACAAGCCTACTTTTAGAGCATTTAAACAAATATAAATTTAATCATGTTAATATTAAATTATTCAAAAACATATTTTAGGACTTTTGTCATTTTGAACATTAGTCTTCATAAACATTAATCCAAAACTTACGTTCGCTCAATCGATGTTTAGTTCAATTGAAATGACACCATCAACACCAGAAATCAAAACCGGTTTTTCAAAAGTTAAAGAGTACATCTTAAAATGATACGCTGATTGGTTAAATTTTTAACTTTTTTCTTGGATATGCGTTTTAAAATAATCTTGGGTTTAGTAAAACCAGAAGTTTAAGCATTAATCTTGATATCCATCATTCTATAGTTTTCAGCTCAGATTTTTACTTTTCTTATTAATCGACAATGTCACAATTTGTCCATTTTATGATTATTTCTCAAATTCTTCCTTGTGCCTTAATCTTATTTACAATATTTGTATTCGCGGGGTTTTATTTAAAATGATTGATAATTATGGTCAGATGACTAAAAGTCAGCCTTCAGGTAGGTTAATTTAGATTTTAAACTTAAGTTTTTCTTAATACCGTTTTTTTTAGGGGGTGCACGTACATCAACCGTTAGGGGGGCGCACAAAAAAATGTGATCACAAGTTTGTAAGCTCGAACTTTCAACAATTCATGTATGTTATTAGAATTATGTATGCTACAGTGAAACCCTTAATAACGAATACATCGAAAGAATTCATCAAATGTCGTATTCTTTACTTTCTGATAATGGAATGTTGCAGATATTTAGTTTTTTAATTAAATGATTATATGGAACTCTTTAAAACTGTTCCCGTATATTCATGGCTATTTATTTATTTTCGCAAATACTGAAATTTACGAAATATAGTATAAAACTCATTGAAAAATTGTCAAGACGACATTTGATAAATTCTTCGAATGTATTCGTTATTAAGGGTTTCACTGTAGGTATGGACAGTTTTGACTTTTTTTTCAAAACGTTCGTTTCGTTTATAAAGAAAAACAATCTGAAAACGAAATGATCCTTCTGGAAAACGATAGTTTTTAAAAATGGAAAAACGATCGTTTTAAAATGAAAACGATCGTTTTTGAAATAAAAACAACAAATAAAGCATCAAATAAAAATTAGAAATTTGAATCGACAAAATGATCCCCCATCCCCATCTTGGTAACAAGCAGTCAAAAGCCTTGCTTTGAACGAGAAAATTTGTTAGAATAAAATTTAAACAAAAACAAAAAGTTTTGTCCTTTCGTTTCGTTTTTCGTTTTCAAAAGCTTAAAACTAACTATTCGCAAAGTTTTAACAATTCTTTTTTTAAACGAATGTTTGTTTTGAAAAATCCAAAACGAAACAAAAAAATTTCGTTATTCTGATCATTTTTAATTTGATGCTAATTCCTACGGCTACATGTGTATTGTAGGTACTAGACATACTTTAGAAATGATATATTTATATTTTATAAAACTTGTTTTTACCAGACCGTATAGAACGGCTAGATAAAGAGCAAACATCTATTTCAATTGAAATCATTTGTTATTCAAAGAAAATATAATTTTATTCTTCATATATGAATTCCAAAATGTTTAACCCTATCTCTGTTGGGCTGCTACAAACCTAGAATACCCCCCTCCACCACCTCCCCAATATGCAAAAATCAAAAGTTTTGAAAATCCCCTGAGTAAAATAAAATTTAAATTCAAGTTGAGGGGGGGGGGAGGGTAGAGTGCCATTTGGGTAAAACTAACTGAAATACGAAATTTTGGCATTTAAAAATAATTTTTCTAAATGGCTCAGTCATTTTACTGTTTTTCCTGCCTTTTTGGCATCTTTTTATGAAAAACTATTTTTTGAATCATTTTGCCGCAAGGGTAGTTGAGGAGAAAATTGCACCTGACACGGTTTTTTTTTAAATGGATTTTTTGGCCAATACCTTACACATTTCTCCCTAAACTAAAATAGCATGGTGTTCAGTTTGAAAAAAAAATTACGTTCACTACTCCCAGATGGAGCTGACAAAAGGTGTTAAAAAGGCGTGATTTTTCACCTTTTTCTAAATATTTGACCATCAAAAAAATCGAAAAAAAATTTGGTAAATATCGTTTAACCAAAATAAAGGATTTCCAAAATTTTTAAAATCCCTCGAAAATTTACAGTGTTAAAAAAGAAAAGAAAAGACTTAGAGAATAGGTATAGTTCATTTGTTCATAGCCCAATTTTTCAAGGCAAGCTCATAGAAAATAATTAGACCGATAACTTTAATAGTTTGGGTGCTAGGGAGGGTTGAAAAAAAGCCTAAAAAGGGTAAAAAAAAAATGAATAAAATATTTTTCGTTTTGTTTTAAACAAACATCAAACTGTGACACATGTTTCTAAATGCATTGCATTTTTTAAGAGCTTTTTAAAAATATTGTTTTTAGATCTGTAGCTTTATGGAAAAGTATTTATATTTGAAAACATTACCAAATGTCAAACATGGCTTTTTCTGAGAATGCAAATCGGAAATTAAATATGCATTTAGAAATTGTTAATGTCAAATATTTAAGGATACTAGCCTTAGAGGGCGCTTCGCGCCCATCTTTTAAATTAATTGTGAACATGTTCTCTTTGTGTACATCTTAAAACAAAACAAAAATAATTCGCGGATTTTCACAAAAAATTTCGTGGATTTTCAAAATTTTCAAAAATTTAATGAAGATCGAATTTTGATGGAGACAAATATTTGAAATTTTGATCATTCATAAACCTTCCCTGGGGTCCCTAGATGTCCCACAAAAAATTTGGGCCCGTTTTGACGTTTATTGGATACAAACAAACAAACAGACAAACAAACAACAGACAGACAAGCCAAATTTATATATAGATTCTGTCCGTTACCCGTCATTCTTTATTTAACCCTCAAATAAATTATTTATGAAGATTGAAATCTTTTTTGCATTTAACCCTTTTCCGACTTGAATCTTATAATCTCAATTTTTTAATGATGTTCAAGTCTGTTCGACTCTGCGCGGGGCAGAAAAAATAAAAATGAACTAAAAATCTTTAATAAGTTTTAAAATGAGAAAAGTCAAAGAGTCGCAAAAAAACATAATTTTGATTTTATTCTTAATCCTCTTTTTTGGATATCTCTACTGTATAAAAGTTACGTTTGACAACAATTACAGATACAATGCTATACCAATTGAACTAATATTCGATTGAATTAAAGCCAGCTGTGCACAAGCCGGCTTTTAGAGCATTTAAGGAAATATAAATTTAATCAGGTTAATAGGAACCTATTGAAAAATATATTTTATCATATTTTAGGGCTATCATCATTTTAAACGAGTCTTAATAAACATTAATCCAAAACTTACATTTATTTGATTGATGTTTAGTTCAATTGATATGACACAATTAACACCAGAAAAAAACCCGGTATTTTTGTGTGTTTTTATTATTAAAAGGAGCTGTGTCATTGATACAGGTAGAGTCAGGCAAACGTTTGTATGACTTATATGCAGCATTTAAAAGGCGTAATTTGTCAAGTTGGGGGGGGGGAGAGATTAATATTTTTTTTAACATTCCATGAGGGGGGGAACAGCCAATGTTTGGGAGCTTAACCTCCCTAAAAATATTAATTTTCACTTATCCAGAGGGGGTGGGGTTAGATTCTAGAGACCTCCCCCCCCCTGCATATACACAATATATTATGTAATATCACGAATAGAACACCTGAAATCCCAACAATTATCCTAATAGAATGTTTTGTTAAAATGCACGAACACATTTAGTATGTTTGGCGGCATGACGTCACTTTCTGGTTAGATAGAACTTACTAATAATAGGGATCTACGAGAAATACAAAATTCATTTCGTTTAATTTTATCATCGAAAAAAACAATGCATATTCTTGCGAAACGTTTACAATTTTTGATTATTTAACGATAAAATTGTGAAATTTAAGCAACCCTAATCTAACACAATCTAAAGTAAACTTCCTTTAAAAATGACCAACTTCTATCAAATCCAAGATATTTCATAGAATTTTAATAAAAATATTTCATTCTTTCTAAAAAACATTATTTTACAAAAAATATTATTTATCAAATCTGATTCAAAAACATTTTTTCATTTTTTTCACGTTTTAAAACTCTGCATCTCTATCTGTATCTGTATCTGTATCTGTATCTGCATGTGTATCTATATCTGTATCTGTATCTGTATTTGTATTTGTATCTGCATCTGTATCTGTGGCTGTATCTGTATCTGTATCTGTATCTGTATCTGTATCTGTATCTGTATCTGTATCTGTATCTGTATATGTATTTGTATATGTATTTGTATGACTATGTATGAGTAAATGTAAACTATATTTATGTTAGTATATAAGAACAATGCGACCAGGAAGCATATTATTATTCTCTGCTTTTCTAGGTAAATCATATACACACACCTGAATATAAACATATTAAAGGGACTATACGCCTAATCATATACACACACCTGAATATAAATATATTAAAGGGTCTGCACATACGCCTAATCATATACACACACCTGAATATAAACACATTAAAGGGACTGTACGCCTAATCATATTCACACACCTGAATATAAATATATTAAAGGGACTGTACGCCTAATCATATACACACACCTGAATATAAATACATTAAAGGGACTGTACGCCTTACTTCAAGGGATATTACGTACAAAGATGACAATACCTGATTCACAGAGGAACCCGTAAAAGCTTTGTTTGATAAAGTTTTTTTTTTAATTTTGAAGACTGAATATTTTTAATAGTGGATTTTCTACAAAAGTGAATTGCGCATTCTACTGCATGAACAAATAAAGGAATTATCATTATTGATCAAATAAAGGTTTCTATGGTTCTGTTGTGAATCAGGCAATGCCATGTTTAAGTATAGGGTCACTTTAAATAACGCTTACATTCCTTTAAATCAAAATGATTACTTGCTCCGAATTCTAATTGTTAAATCTCTATCATTGTGACTAAATTGTGAAATGTGTAAACCTTTAATATTTCAATTTTGACTTCAGATCTGACAGGAAGAAAAAAGCTTGAAATATAAAAAGTTTAAATCAAGCTAAAATAAGAAAATTGGATTTTGTTGGAAGAAATCATTAAAATTCAGTTTGGATTCCTCCACTTGAAGAGTGGGGCAATTGCCCGATTTAATCCTGATCATGTACAAAGCTGAGAGGAGCATTTGCCCGATTTAATCCTGATCATGTACAAAGCTGAGAGGAGCATTTGCCCGATTTAATCCTGATCATGTAAAAAGCTGAGAGGAGCATTTGCCCGATTTAATCCTGAACATGTACAAAGCTGAGAGGAGCAATTGCCCGATTCCATCCTGATCATGTACAAAGCTGAGAGGAGCAATTGCCCGATTCAATACTGATCATGTACAAAGCTGAGAGGAGCAATTGCCCGATTCAATCCTGACCATGTACAAGCTTTAAACGTTACAAATGTGATCCTTCTCAAACTGCATGGAAGGTCACTAGAAATCTTCCCTACAGAGGCTTTTATGTTATCAATAAAACATTTTTATTATTTAGAGCTGAGCTTGTGCTTTCAGTGCTACAAGGGAAGAGGGGATAATTACAGGGTAAACTTTTAATTTTTTTTAGAAATTTACTTCACTCCGCGCCACATTTAAATCTATTAATCTTACAAATAGATTTGAGGATAACGGGACTATTGTGTGAAATTGCAAAAGAGTTATGAAGAACTTTTGCGGATTAACTAGCAGTCATGTCAGATCTTTCTACGGGGCAAATGAATGCCCGTTAATTACCATATTGACATACGATAACTGCTTACAATCTAAAAGTTGATAATTGTGGTTTCTCTGACTGGCGGATTTACACAGCTAAGAAAAAGAAGGAAATTGGTAGAATTTATCACTTCTATAAATTAGTTCTACAGTCAGAGCCATACAACTATGGAAAAGAAAGACGATTGTTAAACTCAAGCTATGTTACCAAGCAGTCCTTAATAAACATTAAACACAGAAATTGTGCAGTACACACAGAACAATTTTATTTAGTAAAGTGATTTAAAAACTGATGTTAAAATGTTTGCTTCATAACAACACAACTAATACACATCAGATTTCTTAAATATCGTCTTTCTATTCCACATAGTATGGGTGTCTCTGTTTACAGTTACACAAAAGAGTTCTACGTATTTGACATGAAAGTGTCATAGCGCCACGTCATAGACAGTTAGATTTTAATAATTTTAAATTAGGTATTTAATTCATTGTATATTAACAAGTCCACAATTAGCCTACTCTCTGTATATATAACGGAATTAAATACGTTTAATATTAACTTAAAATAAATAAAAAATAAATATATTATCAAAGGTGGTGTATAAATTGTGACTAGCGCTGTTTTTACTGCAGCAAAAAATATTAACATTTTAGCAAGGTTCCAACTTTTTAGCAATGTTTGTTGGTAAACGCGTTTTTACACACAAATATATATTTACATATATATAATATATATATATATATTATATGTGTGTATATATATATAATACATATCTTTGTATTTAATACAAATTGCAATAAATACAAGGTTAAAAATATACATATATATGTACGAGGAGGAGGGAGGGAGGTCTAAAAAGTTGAAATACAAGATACTGTTTTATATTGATTGAACATTTTTTGCCTGTTTTAACAAAACGCGAAATGAATCAACATTGTATCTTGATCATTATTCTTTTAATTATTATTATTTTAAATCCTGTTTTTCATGTTAATCTCTCAAGGATAAGTTTATTAATAATAACAATAACAATAACTGTGCAGTAACCTCTAGATATAATTTACAGTTGGTATTAATAATAAAATTATTATTTACAAATTATTTTATGACAATAATATTATTAATTATATTAATAAAAATTTTAATAAAAAATAATAATAATAATAATAACACGAATAATAATAATAATAATGATAATAATAATACAATGGTCTTCGATTATATCAATATAATTAAGACGACTTTTTATTAAAAATGCTTTGTTCCCTCAAAAGCATTTTTCAATTACAGGTTTCAAGGTAAACAAAAAACAGCTGTTAATTGACAACTTCTCTTTGTTCACTTGTAATTATGTGTCTCTGCTATTTAAAAGGTTTGGTACAAAATGGTCGTCTTCATTGTATTGATTAATACGACGACGACTGTTTATTTTAGAGAGATGAATGCGCTCAATGTGAGTTTACCGAATGCATGTGTATAAAAGCATCTCCTCTTCTTCTTTCAGCAGCTCAGGTATTAAAATTCAAATTCAAATTTCGGTTTCTTAAACTAAAAATAAGCTTTCTACTCCAATTTTAAGGTAAGAACAAAGCAATGGATCAAAGCTAATTTAAAATTGCTAAAAAAAAAACATTTTTGGTAGCTGTTCTTTCTTTAGCTGAATACTTAAGGTTATTATTTTCCTTTATTTCTCAAACGGTTTGAAAACGATCTCAATTTTCTAACGGCATTAACGAAAGATATTTTAGAAATCGTTAACGATGCTAGCGGTTAATGAGTCGTTAACGATTATTTCATGTAACAGTTGCTAGACACCTTTGAAGACAACATTTTTAAAAATCAAAACACGTAATCAAGATACATAAATATTATTTTTAATTTTGTTTCATGTAATTTTCAGTTGAAAAATTAACGAACATCGCTGTTATTTTGAAAAAAAAACATCCGTTCGTTCTTTTTTATAAAATAAAGATTTAAATTTCTTTATTTACGGTTTTGCCGTTCGTTAAGTTTAAAAACTTGCCGTTCATTAACAGAATGTATTTTAGCCCTATATTAGAACTATTATTATTAGAATTATCCGGTAATAACATAAATGAAAAATAATGTTTTCTAAATTGCTGCAATCTGTGCGACCAACAAGAAGACGACATTAAATCAACTTTATGTGTTTTAAATGTTCTTTTAAAGCAAAGCTTGAAACTCATTTTATAATAAAATGGGTCTGTGTACGCTGCATGTTTGCTGTGATTTATCATTTCATGTTCATAGGACTATTTAAAATCATATCGTGAGTCTAAAATTCATCTTCCTTTCCAGCGTTTGTAGGGCTCCACTTAACTTAAATAAACTTAAATAAAAATAAAAAGTTTCCTGTTTTAGACATTTAGATTAAAATCTGAATTAACTATGTACAATTTCGAATTTTAGTTTTCAACATTGATGTAACATAAAATGAATTCATTTCAAACAGAAATTTTCAATTAAATAACTTTAGCATGGTTTTGCTGAACAAGAATTAAATGTTTCAAAATGAATCAATTAGATTCTATTTTTTAACATTATGCATCTAATTCAAATTTATATTTTTCAAAGGTTTTTGCAAAACAAATAAATTAAGATAAGATAAGATAAGATAAGATAAAGTTTATTGCTAAAATAAATGTATCTCACTGTATACAGATAGAGTTTACAATCACAAAATTGATGATTATATTAACAGTACAAGTATAAAGCAATTAGGTGGAAAATAGCTCTTGGCTGTTTTGATTATTTTTTCCGCCTAATTTTAGTAATAATAACAAATAATTTCAAATTAAATAGATTTAAGGAGAACGATTAGAGATCAGGGTGCAAATTTATCATATGCAAAATAGTTTATACACTAATTCGAATAACTAGAGTTTAAAGTAATTTTCTGACATGTACACAACAAATATCAAAGCATATTAAAACATATCTAATTAGTTTTACATGAATAGCAATTCGGTTTATAAAACATTGTCCTATAATTTTCAAAAAGAGAATTTAGTAGTCTATTTTTAAATACACTTAGAGAGTTAACTCTACAAAATTGAAACTTTAACAAATTAGTTTCTCAAAATTATTTCAACCCATTTTATAGTCAAGACAAAAAGTGTAAAATTCAATTTTCTTTTTCCTTTTATGCAGTGTTACGCGACAACATTGTTGACTGTTTCCTACAGAATTGAATGCTTCGCAATGCAGTTTAATGCAAATGCAATAAATGCAGTGTTTGCATCCTGTTGCATACATATTCATGCATCATGCAGTTTTGCATTCAATTATTCACACCAAGATTAAATAGGCTGTTTAAAAATTTGAAAAATGCATTTTTGATCAAAAGTAAAAGAGTAAAAATAGTCTTTCTAAAATAAGATGTTTAAATTCTTCTCTTTTTCATTCCCCTTTTAACAATTAGCTAAAGCTTTTTTTAAGTAAACGCGTTTTTTTACAATGAACACCTTTAACATTTTAAAACAGGAATTAGACAAAAGTTAAACACGTGTCAGTGTGACAATAAAAAAATTTAAAAAAACTTTAAATAAAAAACCAATCATAGTTGCAAATATGAAGCCGATAAATTTGAAATTTTGCACGCCATTTAAGATTATATACAGAAATGGGAGGAACTCTCTAATTTAGAACACACGGTTTTTGATTTTTCTCTACTATATCCAAGAAAGAACGGTTTAAGAAGAAAATCAAAAGTGTGTCCATTGGATACTTATATTAAGGATATCTCATTCTAAAGTTTTCAGCTCAGAATGCATTAAAAGCACCCTAGACAAAAAGATTATTTTATAACACAATTTTTATGAGACTAAACTGTTTTATTGAACCTTTTGAACCAAGTTTAGTAATTAATCCTTTGAAGTTACTTTACATAAAAGTTTATTTTTGATAATTTTATTGAAGTTTTTGTAAAAACTTTTCTTTAAGGATGGAATAGCTTTCCCAGGAGACTATCCCCCATATCAAGGTAAAACTCCTATCTACCTGTCTACCTGTCTACCTGTCTACCTGTCTATCTATCTACCTGTCTACATGTCTACCTGTCTTCCTGTCTAATTGTCTACTGTCTACCTGTCTACCTGTCTATATATCTACCTGTCTACCTGTCTTCCTGTCTACCTGTCTGCCTGTCTCCTTGTCTACCGGTCTGCATGTATACCTGTCTACCTGTCTACCTGTCTCTATCTACCTGTCTACCTGTCTACCTGTCTTCCTGTCTACCTGTCTACCTGTCTGCCTGTCTACCTGCCTACCTGTATACCTGTCTTCCTGTCTACCTGTCTACCTGTCTAATTTTCTACCTGTATACCTGTCTACCTGTCTTCCTGTATACCTGTCTACCTGTCTCCTTGTCTACCTGTCTACCTGTCTATCTATCTACCTGTCTACCTGTCTACCTGTCTACCTGTCTACTTTTCTATCTGTCTACCTGTCTAACTTTCTGCCTATATATCTATCTACCTGTCTACCTTTCTACCTGTCTTCCTGTCTACCTGTCTACCTGTCTATCTATCTACCTGTCTACCTGTCTACCTGTCTACCTGTATACTTGTCTACCTGTCTACCTGTCTACCTGTTTACCTGTCTACCTGTCTACTTTTCTACCTGTCTACTTGTCTACCTTGCTACCTGTTTACCTGTCTACCTGTCTACCTGTCTAACTGTCTACCTGTCTACCTGTATACCTGTCTACCTCTCTACCTGTCTACCTGTCTACCTGTCTATCTTTCGATCTATCTATCTATCTGTCTATCTATCTTTCTATCTATCTATCTATCTATTCTTATATAAGTTGTAGAAATTTTATATTTCCTGTTTTGCTTTAAATATTTTCCGATATTTGAACCTACTATTGGAAAAGGAAAGAGCATGGGGGGGGAACAGGGCACGTGGCTAGGGTGTGTGGGAATAGAGTAAGCCAAAAAAGTGGAGACCAGGAAAAAAAGAGAAAACAGGAAAAAAAAGGGAAACAGGAAAAAAGGGAGAACAGGAAAAAAGGGAGAAAAGGAAAAAAGGGAGAACAGGAAAAAAAGGGAGAATAGGAAAAAAAGGGAGAACAGGAAAAAAGGTGAGAACAGGAAAAAATGGAGAACAGGAAAACAGGAAAAAAGGGAGAACATGAAAAGAGGGAGAACAGAAAAAAGAGGGAGAACAGGAAAAAAGGGAGAATAGGAAAAAGAGGGAGAATAGGAAAAAAGGGAGAATATGAAAAAGAGAGAGAATAGGAAAAAAGGGAGAATAGGAAAAAGAGGGAGAATAGGAGAAAGAGGGAGAATATGAAAAAGAGGGAGAATAGGAAAAAGGGAACAATAGGAAAAGGAGAAAACAGGAAAACAGGAAAACAGGAAAAGAGGGAGAATAGGAAAAAAGGGAGAACAGGAAAAAAGGGAGTATAGGAAAAAGATGGAGAATAGGAAAAAAGGGACTAAAGGAAAAAAGGGAGAAGAGGAAAAAAGGGAGAAGAGGAAAAAGAGAGAGAATAGGAAAAAAGGGAGAATAGGAAAAAGATGGAGAATAGGAAAAAAGGGAGAAGAGGAAAAAGAGAGAGAATAGGAAAAAGGGAGAATAGGAAAAAGGGAAGAATAGAAAAAGGAGAAAACAGGAAAACAGGAAAAGGGGAAAACAGGAAAAGAGGGAGAATAGGAAAAAGGGGAGAATAAGAAAAAGATGGAGAATAGGAAACAGAGGGAGAATAGGAAAAAGGGGAGAAAAGGAAAAAGAGAGAGAATATGAAAAAGAGGGAGAATAGGAGAAAAAGAGAGAGAATAGGAAAAAGGGGGAAAATAGGTAGAAAAGGGAGAATAGGAGAAAGAGGGAGAATAGGAAAAAAAAGAAAATAGGAAAAAGAGGGAGAATAGGAAATATGGGAAAGAGTAAGAATAGGAGAAAGAGGGTAACTTGAAATTAAGCTTACAGTCCCTTTAAGTCCATTTTGTATTCCCACTACTATGATCTAATTTTGTACTGCCACTACTATGATCTAATTTTGTATTGCCACTACTATGATCTAATTTTGTATTGCCACTACTATACTCTAATTTTGTATTGCTACTACTATGATCTAATTTTGTATTACCACTACTATACTCTAATTTTGTATTGCCACTACTATGATCTAATTTTGTATTGCCACTACTATGATATAATTTTGTATTGCCACTACTATATGATCTAATTTTGTATTGCTACTACTATGATCTAATTTTGTATTGTCACTACTATGATCTAATTTTGTATTGCCACTACTATATGATCTAATTTTGTATTGCCACTACTATGATCTAATTTTGTTTCATCTACTATTGTAGTAATCTGGATAATCTAGACGACTATAGATATGTATATATAGTGTATATATACACAGATATGCACCTATATATATGAACACAGATATGATACCTCGCCGCTATCAACATAAAGAATAAAAGTAATAAAGCTTAGTGCACAAAGAACCTTACTAGTAGAAAGACTTATATACAAATATAATCTTCTACCTTAGGTTAAGAGCAGCTCCCAAACTTATATCGATTCATAACTCAGACTATTAACATAATATAGCCTGATAAATATATTCAACTGTGAATAGCTAGTTATAGATATTTATATTAACCTAGGCAAGCAAAGATATATAATTCTGCATAGCTAAACCCAATACATAGCTCCGTAGAATTAATAGCTCCGCAGAGTTAATAGATCCACAAAGCTAATAGCTCCGCAACATTAATAGTTCTGCAAAGCGAATAGCTCCGCATAGTTGATAGCTCCGCAAAGCTAAATAAGGAAGCTCTATAACGCTAAGCAAGACCAATAGCTTAGTAAAAGTTATATATATATACATATAACCAATCTTAGATAGTTCCTAATTATACTAATAGCTAAGTAACAAAGATACCATAAAAGTTACTAAAGCTTTCTTATAAGTGAAGATGTCTGGATTCTTCAAGTACATCGAACACTGTCCAAATATCACTGGATCTCTTCTGGACGATGTAACGGAGGGAGACAGTGACTATGGATTGGAGTTGGAGGCACTGTTCATCTCTGATAGCTCCACTGAGATAGTGACTGCATCCATAGAGATAGTCACTGTTCCATCCTCAGACGACGAACCTGAGGAATTGGAAGCAGATATGCCCGCCCTCACTACTGCAGAGGTGTCTGAGAGATCCGGAGATGAGGGAGAAGGCGGAGTGGATGGTGAGAGGGATGAACTGGATGAAATAGAGGCAGAGGAGAGGAAGTCCCAGCAAGGGGATGGCAGAGCTGTTAATGAAGAGGTTCCTAGCCTGGAGGATGCCGGAGAAGAAGAGGATGAGTTCACAAGTATGTGGAGGAAACTGGGCCTGCAACCAGACAGGGGACAGGTGAACTTGGTGAAGGAGAACAGGCGAAAGGTACGGGGCCGGATTGAGGTGATCTAGCAGGAATTACGCCTGGTAATGATGGAAGCATTTGAGAACCATGGCGGAATGGTCTACAGCGAGGAGGAGCATCAGCTCAAGCAGGAATTGGCGCTTGTCACCAATATGTCCCTCATTATGGAGCAGCGGCTGGAGCTGTTACAACTCCTTGCCATGGAAGTCGAGTTCGGACCAGAATATTTATCTCCTGAAATATATAATATTGAATCAGTAAACTTAGATTAATAAATATGAACTAAGAGAGTTAATTATTGCGTTTTGAAATTCTGCTGTAGATCAAATAAAACTCGGGGTTTACAACACTCTGATATAATTTTGTATTACCACTAATATGATCTAATTTTGTATTGTCACTACTATGATCTAATTTTGTATTGCCACTACTTTGATTTAATTTTGTATTGCCACTACTATGATCTAATTTTGTATTGCCACTACTATGATCTAATTTTGTATTGCCACTACTATGATCGAATTTTGTATTGCCACTACTATGATCTAATTTCGTATTGCCACTACTTTGATCTAATTTTGTATTGCCAATCCTATGATCTAATTTTGTATTGCTACTACTATGATCTAATTTTTTATTGCTACTACTATGATTTAATTTTGTATTGCCACTACTGTGATTTAATTGAACTTGTGATTATGTCACAAACTCTGATTTTTAACCCCTAAATCTTTGCAATCCTATGTTGTAGACCTTAGATATTTCAAACTATGAATTCTATTGGATCAAATGATCTAAGTTTTAAAAAATCTAAGGCTTACACCATCAGGTTGCAAAGTTATAGTGATGAGAAAATTTAAGTTAGTGGCCATGGCTCAATTCCTCGTATTAATCAACAATATATGTGCAGAAAATTTGCACGTTTTGCACAAGTGTTATTTTATTGCACATTGCACAGGATCTGGTGGGAGCAACTTTCCAGATTCATCTCTCTCTGCACCTAAACTTCAAATACAAGGCAAATATCAGGGATTAGAAATTCATTGCGCTTTGTGCCTTTAAGTCAAATTAAATTTTTCCATATACAGCTGCTCTTTCTACTGAAATCGCTATTTCTATTTGTCTATAATATACATAAATAAAATCAAATTCGCAAAAGCAGTTTTATAAATTTATGAAATGTCGTTTTGAATATTTTCAAATGGGTTTTATACTGTTATACGTACAGAGCGTCCCATATCATATTAGACTACTCCAAAAAAATAGTATTCTTCGCAAGAAAATTTTTATATTAGCTTTATTAAATTGTTCAAAATGATTTATTCTTCTTAAATTTTCTGATTACTCTCGGAAATCGTAAATTAGACTGATTGACGATCTAATATGATGTGGGACACCCTGTACATGAACTAATATGATGTGGGACACCCTGTACATTATCTAATATGATATGGGACACCCTGTGCATCTCAGTAATTACAAAAAATAAATAAGAAACTATGAATATGCGGGAACAGTCCATTTAATCATTGAATAAAAAACTAAATATTTGCAGCATTCCATTATCAGAAAGTAAACAAAACAACATTTTATAATTCTTCAGATGTCTCTTTTTATTTAAGTTTAACTGTATTAAATATGCAATTTTGAATTAACACTGTATATGTAAGTTATTTTTTGTACTAATATTTTATTTCATTTGCAAAATTATATCATTTAACATCTTATGTTACTTTTCTGGAATTTGTGGCATTATTTGAGTATCTTTCAAATTGTCACATATACACTGACAGTGAAAACTATAAAACGGTGAAATAAATGTTTTCTTTTGTTTTTTACTCAATTTTTTTTTAATTTTCAATAACAATTTAAAAGGTTGAAAATAGCAGTACTGTTAGCGGCAATTTGTAACTAAAAGAAAAGCAGACTAAGAGAATTCCACTATTTTCTGGTTTTTACAGTGTGTGAAAATATATTCACCATATCAGTGTTGTTTTATGACAATAGGAATATTTAACTATGGAGACAATTCAATTTATACATTTGCACACAGAAACGAAATAAAACAAAATTATATTTAAAAAAAAATAAGATGAATACCAAAAAGCACGAGGATTTTTTTTCTTCAAAAAAATACCCAGAACATTTTTAAGAAGTTAGTATAGTGGCTTAGTAACACTTTTTTATGTAAGTGCTCAAATCCACGTTTTTTTATAAAATTAAAAACATATTTGAATTTTTTCAATGTTCAAACTTTTTTGGGTGTAATTGTTTGTTTATGTGTAGATCAAATTACTGATTAAAGCCAGTATGATAATCGTCAAAATAAATTTTTGTCAAATTTTAAAATGATAGTTGTTCAGCCTTCCATCAAACAATTTCTGAAACATTTAAAAAAAAAAAAAAAAAAATCAGACGGTATTCAGCGGTTCGAGACAGACACATCTTTGATAACCATATTAACATGCTTTAAAAAATTGAAAAATCGACCTCACCTAATGATTTTAATCAGTTAATCACGGAATAAATTCTTTTTAAATTTTCTCATCAATAAATAATGTTCTACTGTACATATTTTGGCTGGTAAAATGAACTAGTTTCCCACTGATTACTGTGTGCGACATTCCAAAGGGAAAACAAAGACGGCATTATAATTCCACAGTTTTCTGATCCTCACCGTATTTGTTTCAGGATATCCCGGTAACCTAGACAACCGATATCCTCCGGACCAGGGCAGATATCCTCCGGACCAGGGCAGATATCCAGGTATTCACCAAAATATCCAGAGCTGGATAAATTTGTTTAAACCCGAGTGGACCATCCCCGCCTAAAAAGGTGACTAGGACAGTCTTTGCGCCTAACCTAGGCATCCTTTTGTTTAATGTAGCATATTTCAGACACTGGATCCGATCCCCAGCAGGAGGTCATTCAGAAAACAAGCTAGAATAAGACTAAAAATATGTCTATTTGAGATATTGTTTTTTTCCCACAGTTTTAAGTTTGGGTTTATGGGGGGAGTGTCCTAAGAAAGAGAGATAAAGAATGTGTTACTATCTTCCTGTCTATTTTCTTATCTTTCTATCTATGTCAAGAGTCTATAATCTTAACCAGATGTTAAAATTATCAGAGACCTCCCCTTTCTGTGAATAAATTGTCTTCTCCCCCTCTCCTCCCCCCATGTCTTAGAAGCTGTTAGAGGCGGATCATGTTTAGGCAGGTTTTTAGTAAAAATTAGCCTGATGTAGTTTAAGCTCTTTCGATTGCGACTTATTTTGACTAAATGCAACTTAAGATAATTTTTTGTTGTTAAATAAAATTTTATAAAAATTTATCAAAAATTTAATGTAACAAAAATATTTTTTAATTTTTTAAAATCACATTTTATTTTTTCAAGTCTTATAAAATACGAAAAAATAAAAAGTTTAAAATTTTTGTCCAAAAATTGATAATCCCGTTTTTTTGGTTGGGGAGGGGGGGGGGGATGTTAAGTATATGGCTGGAAGAATATCACATATCCCTGTTTACCAAATTTCATATTTCACCAACGGTGCGTAAATATTTTCACACCGAACGTAGTGAGGTGTGAAAATACTTTCATTTGAATAAAACTACATTAGATGCCACTAGATGGCTCTAGTAGTGCTAGTTTAAAATATATGTATGAATGAATGTACTTAAGTTTTTACAAATTTTTCTTCATAATATTTTCTAATTTACATAAAGCTTTAATAAACTTAATTATCTGTTTAATATTTTTTCAATTGCATCTTATGTGAATATACTCACAGAATCAGGAGGGGGGTTGAATCTTTAAATTCTCAGAGCAAGTTGTTTGCAATTATGAATATACTTCACAGGATCATTTCTGTAGTATGATTGACAATTTTCCTGTCTGAAACTTGAAACCTTACTCAGCCATGATGATGAGACACACGGCCTGTTCAGAGGGTGATTAAGTTACTTTTTTAATCTGAGCATAGACAGGATTTTTATGGTTGGGGGGTACTCTGTACACTGACCCTGTAGCCCCTGACCTGAGAGAGCTTATAAACAATATTTTAGGCACATATTCAGCCCTAATTTTAGTTGCCTAACTTGTAGGGCAATCCTATTTTTAGTTGCCTTATTAAGCGGGTAATCCAATTTTTAGTTGCCTTATTAGGCAGGCAATCCTATTTTTATTTGCCTAATTAGGCGGGCCTAGTTGCTTAGATTAGGCAGGGTTGGACGCATTGCCAGCTGCGCCAGCTGCCTTCCATGGTAGCTGTAAATGCCACAGCTGGGCACACAGACACACACATACGGACAAATATAGCGAGACCCCCTGTCAGGATATTGAACGTGTAACCCCACACCTTTCCGTTCTGAGCACTGACTAAAAATGGGCTTTTCAGTTGTATTCAGTTGTGATCCTCTTGATGAATGATAAGTGTCTCAAGGCGCTTAAATAATAATGACTAATAGTCACAAATAGTCTTTAATATTTAGAGCTTCGGTCTATCCAGGAAGGGAATGAGCTGGGAACTTTTGAATGATGGATATCGGGATTAAGGCTTGATCCACTCTTTTTCTTAATCTCGAGATTAAATAATGTTTGTTCTACTCTTGTTATTAATCTCCAGATTAATTAACCGATCAGGATTAAGGATATCCCATTCTAAAGTTTTCAGCTCTGTATACATAACTTAAGCTAAACCTCCATTTGTATCATATCGGTTTAAAGGGTGCATTGGAAATGCCGTTTAAATAAATGGAGGGTCTTTGGAATTTACGTGCAATAAACTCAATATCTACATTGGAAACTTTTGATGGGAAGCGAAACAGAACAGGCTCATAGTTTTGTAATTTTTTATTGGCCTTTAGATATATATTGAGAAATATTGATCTCTATCTTAGAAAAGATCTAGGGGTTAATTCTATTCCTCTTTGAAATCCTATTATGATGGTCATACCCTTTAAAGATAAAAAAATATTAATAGAGAAGATATATTCCTTGATGTGATTAACTCAGAAATATTATTATAAAAAAAAAATTTCCTTCAATCCAATATTAAAACCTGTATCAAATTATGAAATATCCAATATCGAAAAATCCAGGAAATTACCTATATATATATATACATATCTAGTAAATTACCAATATCCACATATCCAGGAAATAACCGATATATCTATGTATCTATGTACCTATAGGACGATATCAACATATCTAGGAAATAATCGAAATTCATTAATAACCAAAATTAGATAAGGTTTGCGAGGATAAAACCGAAAAAAAGAGTTAGAACTCATGAAGAATCAAAAGGAGGAAGATTAACACATCATATGAGGCGGAATAAAGGCAGAGAGTCTGCCAGAGAGCTTCGACTTAATTGATTCATTAGTATAAACCAATTTTTGTTCTTTTTTTATACTGTAAATACATTTTTCCTATGCCCTTAAAACATATTCACATCAGTTTTATGCTTTATATTTCCCTTTACTTCAACCACTTTTAAATGGTAACACTATATTCATTTATTCAGGAATAAAAGATATCCATGTATATCCAAGGAATAATCTATATCCATATTTCCAGGAGGAAAGGAAGGACATTCTTATATCCAGGAAATGACCGTTATTGTAATTTATAGGAAATGATCGTTATCCCCCTGGTCCAGGGTTTGATAACCAGTTTCCCCAGGGTCCGGGCAGCATAAACCAGTTTAATGGAGGAAGACAAGGACGGGTCAATGTAGATTATCAATCTGGAGAAATATTGAGGTAAAATATATAATTTCACTCTATATTATAGATTTCATCTAATGGCTGCTAGTATGTTCTGCAATATTGCGCGTTTCCAGCTTTCTCAACACTGCAGCAACAGCTGTTTTTGCTCAGTATCTTTTAGAAATGTATCTTGTAAACACCAGCGAGTGTAAGGGCTTTTCCAGTCAATCTGTGGCTGTTTCTGAGAATCTGAAGACCAATTCGTAAAACTATCGTAGACCGATTGGAGCCGTTAATGATTGTTGAACATTTTCCAATAATGTCCTTGATAAAATTGAGATCGTTGACTAAATGTAATTTAAAAAACGGTAAACTAACACCTGAAATTTCTCTTTTTTAACAGTTGCAATTCTAACCCTTAAGAAAAAGGCTAGAAAAAGTTGGAACGTGCCCAGCCCTACCGTAAAGTTGGCTCACAGGTCTCAAATGAATCCAAAGAATTCTCTACAATAGTGCATTCTCAACTACCATTGTCTAATTCGTCAGTCTCTTTAATGCACATTACTATCTGTAAAGTGTATATGTATTCCCAATAATATTATCAGATACCTTTGAGGAGAAACCACAACATTCTACTGTACTGAAACCAAGGAGCTATTTATTGAATACTAAGATAATATGGTTCATTCTGTGCATTACAATTAAAGGGAATGTAAGTGTAATTTCGTGTGACCCTCCATGCAAAGATGACAATGCCAGATTTTCTACAAAGCTTACTTTGATCAAAAATATGGAGGATACAGTCGTTTTCTGACTCTAAAAGTGTTTAATTCTCCATTGCTTATTTTAAACAAGAACTGCTCTAGTCACATTCGCAGAGAAATTGCAAAACAATTTAGAGAAACAAAAACATTGATATATCTAAATTATACTTGATCAGAAAAGCTTTTAAGCGTGAATTGTCATCTTAGCATGGAGGGTCAACTGAAATTACGCTTATAGTCCCTTTAAGTAACAAAGTTACAAAGTACATGGTCTTGATCATTAATGATCCAGGGCCTATATTTTCAATTTCAAGCATTTTAAAAATGTGATAAGGCCTGAATAAACATTGTCATTTATTCATTGAAAATTGAATGGATCACAGAACAGGGAAAGGAATAATTGCAATCCTAAACACACAAAAATGATTTTGTAGAGATTGCTGGGCAAATCCGTTTACAGCTGAACAACCAGGATGTTCTTCACAAACCTTTCAGGGGCGTACCTACTACATTTGCAGGTTAATAACTAGGACATCTTAAAAATACCTTTTTTTACAGGGGGACCCAATAAAAATGTAAATTAAGAGACAACTATTATATCGTCTAAGATTCACGAGGCATTTTTTGTAAAAAAAAATCAAATCATGTCTGTTTTTTTGTATATTCAAAATTAGGAGATATTAAGAAAGGAATTGAGTCTTTTCTTTGGAACCTGATTGTGTAAATCTTTCCTATTTCAAATAAAATAAAATCCTTTGTCATTGGATTTTTTGTTTAAATCAAAACTTAATATAAAAACTTCTGTCTATGTTAATTCGTAAGATACACTAATTTGTATAATAAAATGGTTTGCAAATCACACCTAAGAACTAGTTTACTAGAAATTTTAAATAAAAAAATTCTGAATAGTTAATTAGCTAAGTTGTTTGGAACAGAACAAATTTTTATACATTTGGATGAATCAAATCAGGATAGACGGCCAAAGTTTTTAGTTCTGAAAGAATAAATTAAAAACAAAATAAAAATTCATCATTATTGATGGAACTGCCTTAAATGTATTTGTTTTACAAGTACTTCATATGACATATATGTTTATGTAAAAGGTTCTCTATTTCAGAGGAAATAAATAAACCTTTTAAAACATAAATATCATACATGAAAGCATTGAACTTTTCTTTTTCTGATTCTGAAAACTTTGTACAAAAATTCGGAATTTATTTTTTTCTTTAATGTCATATCTACATTTTCATAATAAACGTCAGACAAAGTTAAATCTCAATGACATTTGATGAAAACGATTTTAAAAACAAACATTTTTTAAATGAAAACTCGGACTTTAAGGAAAATTAATCTACAGGTTTGTTATTGAATAATGCACATTACACAAATTACAAAAATTAGTTATACTTTATAAAAAATATTAATTTATATTTGTCTGTTTAGATGTATGGGAGAACTTTGTAACTCATCGAGTTTGCCTGCTCTGAGTCTAACCCTGCTTTCTTTTCTTCTTGCTAGATATATTCTGTAGCATTATGTTTTTTTTTTTATTTATTTTTTATTATAAAGTTTGTAAACACTAATAAATACTTGATTAAGTAAGAAAATACATTTATTTTCATTACAGCCTAATTTCAAGCGAACCTCCATGCAAAAATAACAATATCTGATTTACACTGATACCCTTGAAACCTTATTCTGATAAAAAATGAGGAAGATAAAGTTGTTTTTCAGTCTCAAAAAGTGTTTATTTCTGTGAATTGCTTCAATATAAGCAAGTAATGCGCAAGTCAATATTGCAGAAACCCCAGAACAGAAATAATCATCATAAACAATTAAAACCGTGGATATCTAATTCACATTTAACCAGACAATGCATTACAGGCTGTACGTCTGACGAGCTTTTCACTAAGTGATCTACTTTTCTTGTAATGTAAAAAGGAATTGAGTTTTTGCAACAAACTCAAATTTTCTAACACCTATAGCTTCGCAACCTGATGGTGTAAACCTTTAATATTTCAAACTAAGTCTATTAGATCTAATAGAATTAATAGTTTGAAATATGAAAGGTCTAGAAGAATGGGTTGCCAAGTTATAGGAATTAGAAAGTCAGAGTTTGTTGCAAATACTCATTTCCTTTACGCAGATATCAATAATTAAGACAATTTTGATTTCTGAAATAAATTGAAATTTGAATTTTGTAATATCTCCTTCAATTTTGAAGATAGAAAATGGTAGACCATATTTTTAAAATCTCAAGACCAGGCGTTTTCGATAAAATATGTTTAAACTGGGAAACTGCAATAATTGTGTTCATGAAAAAACGCGGCATGGATCGAAGACGATATAAAAGTTGTCACTGATTTCCCATGTTTATTGGGATATCATGTGACCTGTATAGTTTATATTTATACATATATACATATATAAAATTCTTATTTCAAGTGACCTCCTATAGTTCTAGAGTGGAATGTCCTATTAACAAGGGTACCTTAAAGTGGTCTAATCAAGTGTGAATTAAATAGCTATGTTTCTTTTTCTAAAAAATGATTATTATTGAGTATTGATTTAAACAAAGTACTTTTAATGATGGCTTTATGCATACAATATATATTAGAAGGAGATAATGTAAAGAAATCAGAAGATCTTGAATTTTTAATCTTTTAAAGCAAAAGTTTTGTATATACAACTTTAAAGAAACTTTTATATTAAGTATGTATGTGATCCCATTAATATAATGGGATACTTACTAAGAAAAATTGATATAACTTCAAAATATACAATCACAGCTGGGAACTCTTTTATTGTGGATATTAAGATCAATGCTTGATCTCAATGTTTGGTTAATCTACAGATTTATTTAATATTTAGTCAGGGGCATTTAAAGGGGGGCTGACTTTTTCTTTTTAGTTGGGGAAAGGCCTGAAAACCTCCTTTGGAAAACAAAGATTTTACTGCCCTTCCTCCCTGTGTACGCCTTTGTCTATTTTATATCCTGTATGGTAATCGGTCCCGGCTGGAATACCTGAAATGGAGAGATTAAACATTGAGCTAAAGCATTCCAAGGTGGTATGCCAATTTACATCTTGTCAAGTTATAATCCCTTATTTAGTTCTAGTATGTCGTAGGCCTGCTTTCCTTCCTGGAACAGAGTCATCTAGCGGTTAAACATAGAAATTTCAGAAGTATCTCATGGGAAATTACGTTCTTTCAAAATACTGATCTTAAACTTCTTCTGACGATATAACAGGCTAACAAAGGTATAGATTGGGAAGGAATGATTACTGGCCAGGATTCCAAGTTCCATTCCTTAATCTACTTCTTGCCTAATGGGGGAGGGGGGGGGGTGATAGAGTCCATTGTAGACTCCATTTACTGTAGTTGATGATTACTGGCCAGGATTCCAAGTTCCATTCCTTAATCTACTTCTTGCCTAATGCATAGAGGTCACAAAGTTTACTAATCTGAAAGGTTTGCAATGAAACTTCCAGATTAATCATCTTATTCTAAGATCAGTTGAATAACTTTGCAAACTCAGATGCGGGAGCTTTCAGCTAGGGATTTCACCAAAAGCAAATTTCGCGCAATTTTATTTGCTGTTATTTGCTGTTTAAATGTACAACAAATAACTAGAAATAACTTCCTTGTTGATTAGCTTTGAATTTACTCCCTTGTTTATATATGCAGTAACCTTCATAAAACTTGAACCCTTCTTTTTTTTGCAACAAGGCTTTAAGCTTTTTCAGGCTGTATACATACGGTACTTCTTCACAAGTTAGGCATTCCTGTACATAGTGTTTACTATATAAACGATGTAACATGCATTATTCTTTACTCTGTGAATGTCTACCTGAAATAAATCTGGATAAGTACGGAAGTTGACTTCATTTTCAAGAGTCCTTAAAGAATATAAAAGAATCTTAGAGACAATACTTCTTTTTGGGAATAGATCAATAGCAATTTATGGTTATATAAATATTCTTATAAATTGAATAGATTTGATTAAGTTTTCATTTAAGAATAGTATAATTGTTCTTAGGGTGATTTTTGATCTAATATAGCCCAGAGATTGAAAGTTGAATATTTTCTAAAATTGTTAAGATTCTTAATTCTTATAAATTCCACACTCATTTAACCATGAAAGGGTATTTAACATCATTCAGACACGCTTCATACAATTCTTTAGGAAAATATCCGCGAAATTAACTTTAAAACTGCGAGTTCCTGAATTAACACTAGACAGAATGTTGTGATTCCAAATTTAAAGATTAAGGTATTTCTATGAAACAATAAGTTTTTGGTGGATTTCTGCATACCTCCCCAGAGTTTAAATTATATATGGCTTAGGGCTATCCCAACCATCAGTTTTGGCCTCAAGTTTTGTCGATATATCTTGAGAAAGAAAATAGAATGTTAGTTTAACCCTGTTCCTAATACAAAAGAATGATAATGCATTCACAACAACTTTTCTTTGTCCTCATCCATTAGTTTAAAAGTCTGCATATTCCATGCTTTAAGGTTTATTTTAAAGAAACTGTAGATGTATTTTCAGAAAGAGTGGCATACTGGATTCTCAATGTTACTCCCAAACCTGCGTCTGAGTTAAAATGATTTTTTTATCATAAATCATACAAAACTTATCAGGTTGCTTTTTGAATCGGAAAAACCACTCTTTAAATGGAGGTTTATTTGAATGAAAGCCTACAGTCCCTTTAAGCGGTCAAACCTTTGTCCTCTGGTTTAATGCAAAAGTTCAACATTGTTCAAAGTAAAGTTCAATAAATGTCTACAGTCTCTTTAAGCGGTTAAACCTTTGTCCTCTGGCTTTATGCAAATGTTCAACATAGTTCAGAGTTAAGTTGAATAAATGTCTACAGTCCCTTTAAGCGGTCAAAACTTTGTCCTCTGGTTTTATGCAAATGTTCAACATTGTTCAGAGTAAAGTTGAATAAATGCCTACATTCCCTGTAAGCGGTCAAACCTTTGTCCTCTGGCTTTATGCAAATGTTCAACATTGTTCAGAGTAAAGTTGAATAAATGCCTACATTCCCTTTAAGCGGTCAAACCTTTGTCCTCTGGCTTTATGCAAATGTTCAACATTGTTCAGAGTAAAGTTGAAGAATTTTGTTAAAATCTTCCAACCCCAAGAATTCAAATTGAAGTAAGATTAAAAATATCTCTACAGAGATGTTTGAAGCATGAAACTATTCTAACCAATGTTGGACAAATATTTAACAGGGTTACCCACAAAGAATAAGACTCAGTTTCTTTCAACCAAGCTTTGAAGAGTTTTTGAATTTATCAGTTTAGATTAAACATTTTCAAAAAACAATTTCGACATTTTTTAATCTAAAATTTTCTGTGAGTTACCACAAAAAAACTTTGCGTGATCTATTTTTTTGGAAACAAACAAACACCCAGACAAGCTTAAAGTATATTTTTAAACACGATTTTTTTATGGGTTTAAAGCCATACGAGTTATTATTATATTAGTATACTGTGTTAGGCAATTATATTAATGAAGACGACTTTTTTATCTAAGTTTTAATTTATAACAAACTTTTTTCGAGAAGCTTTTGACTTTTATGCTTATGTGTATCCGTGCTGTTTAACAGCTTTATATAAAGCAGAACTGAAAACGAAAGTCGTCTTCATTGTATTGATATAATCGCCTACCAGTATAAAGTTTAATAATACTTTATTTCATGAAGAAAGCACGGAAAATTTGGTAATTTCCTAAGTATTATACTGTAAAACATATAAAATTTTATAAAACTGTTTAATTAAAAAGAAATTCACTTCATGGATTTAATAATCGAATTAATTAGAAAAAAATATTTTTTTGCAACTTTACAATATGACATGAAGTTGGAAACTTGTGAATATACGAAATTAATTTAATTCGATTTAAATGAGTTAAACTCTAACGTCTATCCTTTCCTTTCATGTTTTGAAAACTCTGAATTCTCTTGCTCCATAAAAAAATCTCTCTCATTAAGTTTGGGCCTAGATTAAATATATATAAATATATAAAATGATGTTAAGAGATTGCAAACTCAGAACATTATCCCTCTAAGGGACTGTCGCAAAAATCTGCCCCTTTAGTAAAAGTAAATTCAACTTATATAAAGCATGAACCTTGATGCAACGGTTAGACTTTTCCATAGAGCTAGGTACAGTACCAACTGCGACCGGAAAGGTTGACCCGGCTGGGAAATTTTAAATGTTCTACAGCTGCCCGTGTCTAACATGTTAATTTAAAAATATTAAGAATTCACTTCAAATTAAATTCTCTTTAAAATTGTTTCCGCTTCAAATAAAATTGCATATTTGAACATAGGTTAAATTTTTGTTCTTTGTAAGTTGCAATTGTATCCTATTAACTTAAACTCTGAATTTATAGTTCTACAATATCTTAATTTGAACTAGACTTAGAACTCTAGAACTTAGAGGCTCTGCAGTACTTTTCTGTTTCTAGATATTTAAAACCAATATTGTCGATATTTTTAAACCTCAATTCTTTTAACCAAACTATGTAATCTAAACTTTGCCTTTCACTATAGGGGAAATTTATTTTGGGTGGTTAAAAAGGCCAAAA